TTCCACAAAAACACTTTACCTAAAACAAACACATGCTGACATGTTAAGTTGTGTCAAGAAAGAGAAGTTCACAAATACAGAGTTCGAGTCGAGAGAGATTGACTGGACAATGGCCACTCCAGGAATGTGAAAGGACACAGTGGATGACACCAATTTTGGCAGGTCCCTGCAGAGGTTATGGTATGACTGCATGGGGTTGGTCCCAGCATCACCAGGGTAATAGCCCAATCAGTTGACCTGATTTTAAGTATTGCTTGTGCCGTGCTCTGGGCCCGGAAACGTGCAAAAATGAACCACTCACAAATATCGATGTTGTAGCCAGAGTTGTGATCTGGTGAATCGGAAAGATATGCAGGATTCATCGGTAGAGTGACCACCTGGTAATGAGCTGTATATGAGAATTCATTGAGCAACTGGAGTTGTCAGTATTTCTGTTTGGTGAGTTAGTAAAAAGGAACCACACTAAGTGGAATTTGCAATCATTGTTATGCTTTGTGTCAATGACACCATAGTATGGGATAAAGGACCTTAGAATATAGAGAAACCCAGCCCTTTGATTTGCAAAGTAGATTTTTATTATTAATTTAAAAGTAGTTAATTGGCTGTCTTGTGCTTTGACATGTCCTGAGCTTGTGCAAGATGCTATATCTTTCTTTACAATCTTTTTAAATTTATTTTTTTACCAGTACCTGTGAGTAACAGCAGTTTATCTGCTGAACTGTTGCACCCGAGGTCCAGACATCATGACAGCAGTGTGGACTTGACGGAATAGCTGTTATTTTCCTTCCTGTCAATTTTGGACATTTATATTAAGGAAGTGGAAGCTAAAATACTTCATGTAACCAGTTACTAAAAGGAAACTTCATGGAACAAATAAAAGATTAATGCACAATGTTCAGATTATTAGACATTGCAGAATTTGAAGAACTATTCCACAAATAGTTTATTCATGCACATGGCATTCAGATGGCGGTGAACAATACAAAAGAAGTGGGGCAGATAGTCATCAAGGTCAATGCCTGCACTGTTGTCCCAAGAATGCGATTCCACAAGATATCCCATGAATAGTCAAGGTGATTAAGTGTATCTTCAAATGTCATATCATTACAACAAATCATCAACTTCACAAATCCCAATTCTCAGTAACCAGGCACCATCTCTCTGAGAGGATAGGCATTGCTAATGCACCACAGGCATCAGTGAATCCAAATCACTAGCCTGTATGAAATGGTCAGGAGAGACTGGGTCAGGGAGTTGGACTGTATACGGTGGGCTGATGCCTAGGGGTCACAAGGAACTCTGAGCTCATAAGTGTGTTTCACCCTCACTGTGTTTGATGTGTCTACCAGGGTTGCCCTTTGAACAGCCCAATGTAGCTGTTACCTACAGACACCTCCCTCACAGATGGCAGCACACATTCCACTCACTCTGGGAGGGGACCCAGCCATTTTCATTTCTGTGACACACTTCATGCTTTACATGATGATGGAGGACAACAGCTGCCGATCCTCTGAACATGAGTTCTAGGTTCCACTTCCAAGTGTAGGTGACCACCTCCCCCTCCTCCAAAACACCACCACCAGTGTTCAGAGTTTGTGACTTGACGGTTCAAAGATGGAGCTGCACAAAAAAGATCTCCAGTGAAGACATCATTGCTAGGACAAACTAATAATTTCAGCAAAACAGTTTACTTAAAACAAACGCATGATGATATGTGTCATGAAAGAGGGCTCACGGGCGACACGGTGGCACAGTGGTTAGCACTGCTGCCTCACAGCTCCAGGGACCTGGGTTCGATTCCAGCCTCGGGCGACTGTCTGTGTGGAGTTTGCACATTCTCCCTGTGTCTGCGTGGGTTTCCTCCGGGTGCTCCAGTTTCCTCCCACAGTCCAAAGATGTGCAGGTTAGGCGGATTGGCCATGCTAAATTGCCCGTAGTGTTCAGGGAGGTAGAGGGTGTATATTAGGTGGGTCATAGGGGGATGGATCTGGGTGGGATGCTCTGAGGTTCGGTGTGGACTTGTTGGGCCGAAGGGCCTGTTTCCACACTGTAGGGATTCTAATTCTAATTCACAAATACATAATCCTAGTCTACAGAGGTTGACTGAACATTGTCTGCCCCGGGGGTGTGAGTGGGTTTCACCCTGCCCAAGGACACAGTGGATCACACCAACATTGGCAGGATATGCTGTGACCCCACGGGTAGTCCTTTCTGTCAACCCCAACAGTGTCCCACCTCCTCAAGTCCCCAGCGAACCTATCTATCTGAGGTTACAATTTCATGAGTTAGCTGGAAAATAATTTCCAAAATAACTATCCTTCAAGTTACTCACAAAATAGTTGCCTGTTGAGCCCAACCACATTTTAAATCAAGAGCTGGTGGAGCACTGTGTATGTTTTTAAAAATAGCTTCTTCTTAGTGATTTAAATTTGGCAACTGAAAATTAGAGTTATCTTCTCTTTTTCTATTTCACAATAACATGATGCCATAAGTTTACAGCAATGTCATGACTTAACTTCTCCTGAGGGAAATACCTTACCATGTTTTTACTCCAACAGAGGTTGTGAACAGTATACGTTGCTCAAATGGTGCACTGAGCTTACTGAACAGTTATAAAGTGTAGCTAAATCGTTCTTAAGTCCACACAAAATTTGCAATTACAGCAGAGCTGCCTGATATGTGCTGAATACACTCTTTCGGGTTTCAGTTTAAATTTGGTGTTGGTGTTGATTCTGAAATTTATTCTGAATTTATGTGTCTCAGAACGTGATCGCAATACAAGTGCAGCTGAATAGATAAATTGCAACTTGATAAAAATCAGTGCTTTCATAGATTACAAAAATTTAGCCATTTTAATGAACCAGTCTGTCTTTTGCTCCTTCCTTTGGAATATTCCTAAAGATTGCATTTCCCACACTTTAAATACTTCAAGAGACATTGACAGAAAGGACTACCCATGCGGTCAGGGTTTTAAATCTGGTGTAGAATATTCCAGTCTTGTAAAATGGCACTTGAGCTTAAAAGTAGTTGACCTGGAGTTTCTGCTCGATTGCATCCCTTTTTCAGCGCAATTCACATAATATAAAGTAATGAACTGAAGATTGCAGAATTTTAAGTGTTCCTTAATTCAGCAGACCTTGACTGTGCGATAAAAACAAAACAAAATCTGGCTGAATCAGTGGAAAGAGAAACAGATTAAATGGGCTCGAATTTTGATATTTGGATTGTGATTCTAATGTTGGATGATTTCCCAGGTCCTAACTCCTCAGTGCATTGGTGTCAGGTTCTCAATGAGAATTTTGTAGTGATAATTAATGTCTAATAATGAGGCACTGGCAAGACCATTAGCCAATGCAGGAGTTGCAAGTGTGTGTGTGAGAAAGAGAGTGGGAAGCCTCAATGAAGGTATACCATGAAATTTTTTTCAAAAATAATGTTCAAGTTAAAGACTCCATAGCTGCTGGGCTGTCACCATGGAGAGAAAATCTCTCAACTGGACAGTCAGCAACTGCAGTTGTGGCCCGAGAGACATGGTGGGGGTGGGACGTGGACCCTAGTGTGGTATTGTGTTTCAGGTCTTCTGCCAAAAGACCACCTGGTTGTGTTTTCATCTCAGTAGAGTGGAGAGGCTGCAGGCCAAATGGAAACTTTAGGTTGGCTTCTACTGACTAAATTTAACAAGCTTATAAATTAACCTTATTCACTGTTGCTGTTTGCAGTCGAGCAGGCATGACCCTGACTCCCACCTAGCTCCTCCCAGGTGAAAAGTGGCCCAGTGCAAGCAACATGGCCCGCCACTTACCAGAGCCAACTTTCATGCCTTCAGCCTGTGGTCCCGTGTCCAAGATCCAATAATCCAAAATTGCTTTAAGGTCAACAATTCTTAGAACTCCCTTCTGCAAACTTTTGCATTAGCTTTAAAAATGTCCTGTGACAAATAGACTCCTCGCATAAGATTGACGATACCCCAGATCAGCTAAACACTTTTAGCAGATTCCAGTCAATGTATTGCCTTCTATCAAGTGCATAGATTGCATTTGTAGGTTCTGAATAATTTACACAAGTACATAGACCTAAAGAGCAAGAGTAGGCCATTTGGACCTCCAACTCTACTTTCCTGTCCTCTGTTCATAGTCCTCAACTCCCTCGTCTATCAAAAATCTGTTGAATGAAGCCTTGAATGAATTCAATGAAGCAGTCTCCGTTGTTTTCTGGGAAAGAGAATTCCATATACAACTGATCCTTTGAGGACTCCTATTCTCAAACTGTGTCCCCTGGGTCACGATTCTCATACAAGAGGAAATATCATCTCAGTATCCACCCTATTGAATCCTCTCAGGATCTTAAATGTTTCGCTAAGTTCAGCTCGAACAACTCCAAGTTCCAGTGGATACAGGTCCAACTTGTAACTTAGGGTGCAAAGCCACTAATAGGTATAATTTCTTAAATAATAAAAAAAGAAAACCGAAAACTGTACAGGTTTAAATATCCCAATTAAACCAGGAAATAGGTTTGCATCTTCAAATGTAATTTTCAGCCATTTAAAATCAATAGTTATGTGGAGCAGACGGGAAGACAGCACTGTAGCCCAAGAGTTGCCATGATCATATTAAGTGGTGGAGCAAGCTCGAAGGGTCTTAGGTTTTACTCCTGTTGTTATTTCTGTCCTTATTTTAACTCACAGGTAATGACTGATACGGATTTAAAATGCGAGTTTGTGATAGATCCACTTTTAGCCGTGTGAATCGAATTTTATCAAGTTAGCACACTCAAGTACATCAAAGAGGTTTTAAAATAAGTTTTTTTTTGTAAAATTGCATTTTTAATAAGTCAATTGTTGTTTCAAGGCAGATTTGTTTTGGTGATATGCAAACAAGCTTGACCAGAAAAGCAAGACAAAAGAAAAAACTACAACATGAACACAATTGAATTGTTGTTTAGACTAAAAAAAAATACACAAAAGCTTATTGCACAAAAATAATGCAAATGAGTACAGTAGATAACCGTAATATTTTATTACTGAAATGTCACTTTATATTAAAAACAGACATTGACAAATATTAGAGATTATATATGTCACATTACAAAAGAAAACTTGGACTTCAAATGCAAATCTTTAGTTGATGGCTGGAGGATTCGTTCTTTTTGAACTGTATTTCTATGAGAATTAAGTTTAAGATATAGATGATCCTGCTGTCCCCATTTAGTATGCTCAGAGAACATAAACTGCTGATGGATGATCAAACGTAGTATCACAACAGCAAAATCACTGCTAAATTATAACTCCACATCAGATTATAGATAGTGGTCAGTTCTGGAGAACAGAAGAAAATCTATTTCTGTAAATTTCCAGTTTCATCTCGATATTTTGGTTCTACAAAATCCTCCCCTTTCCCAACCTTTGCAATTTTCTACCTCTTTTCAAAGTGCTGAAGTATGATTCATGGTATCTCTCCGATGTGACCATTTCTCCGTAAATGACAGTAGGCTGTTCCTACCTAAAGGCTATCGTCAGTCCAGCTCCAAACCTATACTCCGACCATCGAGTTCCAGTCTGACTCATGAGACCCCTGTTTGCTTCCTTCTCAAAAATGATACAAGGATACTGAGCCCCAAAATGGTACTTCAGCTGACATCAATTAAACCAGCACAGACCAGGAATTGAACCCGCAACCTTCTGGTCTGTAATCACTTAGTTTTATTTCAGGTTGCACCTTTACCCATATCATGGTCAAGGACAGGTTAAAGAATATTCAGTCGTGCAGTTAAGTACTTCACAGCGTCTGACTCAAGGAATGTTTTTGCAATGCCAAGTGCACTGGTATTACTTAAAAGAAAATTAAATTTCAGCACACTGAGTACGAGAACAGATTTTATATATTCATCGTTGATTCATATGAAAAGGAGAAAAATACCACAAACCAATTATTTCCCCACAGTTTGCACCACTCACTCTACTTTTTTAACCTCAGGATCCTCCTGAGGATAAAGGCAATTTGCAACAGTGGCTTAATATCATGTTGATACTATCATCAACAGAGAGGTTCACCAGTTCAGGTCATCACTGCAAGTGGCAGCCTGCTCTTAACAATGCACTTGGCTAGATTCATTATAATCTGCCTGACTTCACAATTAGCCAATTGTACAGTTCATTCAAGGGTCTAAGACGAGCCAAATGACATCTTAAGACTAATGAGAGGAAAGCTCTTCTGCAAGATGAAGAAGTGCATCAAAATTCAAAAAATTATAACTATGAGGCTTTTGCAGTATAAAACTTGCACAATAATAGAACAGAAACAAAAAACGTATGCAAAATAAAACTAGAAAAATTAAATCTGAGTGTTCTCTTTGAATTACAGTGCAGCACACAAAAAATTATCTTCCACTTTCTGTTGTTATCCGACATGGATGACACGTAGCTCATACACTTTCCTCATGGCTTGTTCAATCTGCTTCAGGAACACTTGTGGAAGCCTCCCACATAAAGTGTGTACAGTTTTCAAGAAGTTGTTTTGGAGTGGGAAATACAACGACTGAAACAAATTATCTTCAAAGGGAAACTGAAAGACATAAACAAGTCATGATCAACACCTCTGCTTTAACATAAATTTCAATTGCTCCAGAACACCACTGCACATTTACGAATGGATTTGGTCACTGTTATCCTACTGGTAAAAATCAACAATTGACTTCCATCATCTGAATTTTAAGACCCAACACCCCGAGGAGCTCGAACAGTTCATACACTTCACTAACACCTTCCACCCCAACCTTAAATTTACCTGGACCATCTCTAACACCTCTCTCCCCTTCCTGGACCTCTGTCTCCATATCGGGCAACCACCTCGAAACCGATATTCATTTCAAGCCCACCGACTCCCACAGCTACCTAGAATACTCCTCCTCCCACCCACCTTCCTGCAAAAATGCTATCCCCTATTCCCAATTCCTTCGCCTCCGCCGCATCTGCTCCCAGGATGAGGCATTCCACTCCCGTACATCTCAGTTGTCCTCGTTTTTCAAGGACCGTAACTTCCCCTCCTCAGTGGTCGAGAACGCCCTCAACCGTGTCTCCCACATCTCCCGCACCTCATCCCTCACACCCCGTCCACGCAATAAAAACCAAAAAAGAATCCCCCTCGTCCTCACGTACCACCCCACCAACCTCCGGATCCAACGCATCATCCTCCGACACTTCCGCCATCTGCAATCCGACCCCACCACCAAAGACATCTTTCCCTCCCCACCCTTATCTGCTTTCCGGAGGGACAACTCTCTCCGTGACTCCCTTGTCCGCTCCACACTCCCCTCCAGCTCCACCACACCCGGCACTTTTCCCTGCAACCGCAGGAAGTGCTACACCTGCCCCCATACCTCCTCCCTCACCCCCATCCCAGGCCCCAAGAAGACTGTCCACATCAAGCAGATGTTCACCTGCACATCTGCCAATGTGGTATACTGCATCCGCTGTACCCGGTGTGGCTTCCTGTACACTGGGGAAACCAAGCGGAGGCTCGGGGACCGCTTTGCAGAACACCTATGCTCGGTTCGCAATAAACAACTGCACCTCCCAGTCGCGAACCATTTCAACTCCCCCTCCCATTCCTCAGACGACATGTCCATCCTGGGCCTCCTGCAGTGCCACAACGATGCCACCCGAAGGTTGCAGGAACAGCAACTCATATTCCGCTTGGGAACCCTGCAGCCCAATGGTATCAATGTGGATTTCACAAGTTTCAAAATCTCCCCTCCCCCTACCGCATCCCAAAACCAGTCCAGCTCGTCCCCGCCTCCCTAACCTGTTCTTCCTCCCACCTATCCCCTCCTCCCACCTCAAGCCGCACCTCCATCTCCTACCGACCAACCTCATCCCGCCCCCTTGACCTGTCCGTCCTCCCTGGACTGACCTATCCCCTTCCTAACTCCCTACCTACACTCACCTTTACTGGCTCCATCCCTGCCTCTTCGACCTGTTTGTTTCCTCTCCACCTATCCTCTCCTCTGTCCATCTTCTATCCGCCTCCCATTCTCTCCTTATTTATTTCAGAACGCCCTTCCCCTCCCCCTTTTCTGATGAAGGGTCTAGGCCCGAAACGTCAGCCTCTCTGCTCCTATGATGCTGCTTGGCCTGCTGTGTTCATCCAGCCCTGCACCTTGTTGTCTCGGATTCTCCAGCATCTGCAGTTCCTACTATCTCTTAATCCAAATGCTCTTGGTTTGGGAGGATTATAAAAAGGATTGACCTTGGTCCCTGGTGCTGTTGCTCTACAGTGACAAAGAATGATAGTAATGTCCCTGATAGTTGGAGGGTCTGGAAATATCTGGGCATTATTTGGGGCAGGGCAGGATAGTGTGTCAGCAGAGTATAGGCAGTTTAGTTTAACACAGTTACTCAAGAGCTGGAGTAGGTTTTTAAGCTTTTAACATTTCCTGGCTAACTATTACATTGATATGAAGGGGCTTCTTCAGTGAGTTCCAGATGCAGAGAATTCCCTCTAAACAAGCTATGTCTCGGATCCTGCAAGGTCCTCACACACAATTCCAGTCATTACTGCTCCAGTGGCTCGCTGGCCAATGGAATACCTGGCTATTATGCCTCTTTCACAGAAACGACCAGACCAGTTGAATGCAAGCAGCATTTTCTGTTTTTAAATCAGAAAGGGGCATTTCATCACAGTCTGACAATGTGAAAATTCCATCCATAGTACTCCTGATTAAAAGTGCAGCTCTTCAGAAAGCAGACACATTAATTTTGTGTTTGAGATACTTACATCACGTATAGCCTCATACATTACTTTGAAGGCAGGCTGTTTATCGTCGTGGTAAACTCCACGGTTCCCATGGAGAATGGAAACTCCCTGGTCCTCTGCTCCCCGACAGTTGCTGCCATACATACAATGATCTGGTCTATAATTCCACTGACAAGGGAACACATATAGATATTCTACAGAATCAAAAGAAACATTGTTTTAATATCTTACACAACTAAATTACCATAGACTGCAGTGTTTATGTTGAGCCAGTGTATAATACAGTGGTATACCCTCGGTACCCCCCCCCCCCCCCCCCCCCCCCAAAAAAAAATCACAATTTTGCATTTACTCAGGAGTTTATGTTGATCTCCCACCCCTCCAACCACAAATGTAACACTCAGATCACTAGTTAGTCTCAATTCTCACCATTAAGGGGCAGTTTACTTACTGGTACCTGATAATTGGAGTTGAGGGGTCAAGCAGGCAATAGGGACTGTGGTGTGAAGTTGTGTGGGAGTTTAGAATATGCTCACACACAGTAGAACCCATGTAAAAATCAACAAACTTGGCAACCCCTCACACCCACTGTTACACCTATAGTATAAATGCATCCCTGTATTCAAAGATTGACTTCTATGTCATCATCTCCACTATTTATCCCTGTTAAATGTCTTTTCTTATTAAATTGCTTAATTCTGTGAAATTTAATTTCTGAAAATATTTGGGGTTTATCTAAAAAAAAAGGCCTTTTACATTCCACATGCTCTTAAAGACAAAGATTTTAACATTTGCTTTTGCAGGTTTCTCCAATGATACACTGTGCAAATCTAGTATGCAAAGTACAAACCTACGCAAACCAGGAAGTATGCAGGTTCAGTTTAAAACTTATATTGAGCAGTGTGATCTCGACCATGTTTATATAGGGAAACTAGAATTAATCTAAATGCTCTTGGTTTGGGAGGATTATAAAAAGGATTGACCTTGGTCCCTGGTGCTGTTGCTCTACAGTGAGAAAGAATGATAGTGATGTCCCTGATAGTTGGAGCGAAAGCTAACACTCAGCATCTAGGGCCAGGACTTTGTCAAATCAACAGGGGCCTCCCCCACCAGTTGGAGAGTTGGCAGGATACCCCCGTCATTTCCACTGCAGTTTGCCTGATGAAACCAAGTGCCTTCAGATATTTAACTAGCCACTGTCAGGCCAGCCATGTGACTGACATCCCTGGCAGAACAAGCCCTGCTTACCAAGAGTGAGCCACCAATCCAAGGCTGGCAGCTCATCTTTCCTGCCAGTACCAATATAGCAGCAGTGACAGCTGGTGCAAAGCCTTCACTGAGGCCAAGGATCATCAGGGCTGAATGAAGGTGGGATAGAAATGTGGGAGAGAACTGAAAGTGGATCAGAAGCAAAGGCAGGGGCGGACTTTCAGCGGCTACCTCCCACAAAGGATCCCTGGCCTGAGAGACCACTGGCAAAGCCAACTGGTTTTGTTGGATGACCTTCTGAGTGTGCAGAAACCCCATGCGCCCTCTAACTGATCCCTGAGCCATCAATAAAAATGCAGGGGTCTCAGGGATAATGGATGTCCATTTGTTCATTAACAAGCTTAGTGGACATCCCAACAGCAGTGACCAAGAATCACTGACTTGAATAAGGGACGTTCTCCTGATATTGCAGAGTGATGCAGGGCCTCCCCATGATTAAGTGGACGGAGCTACCATGCCTTCCATCACGATGGGCTGCATAAAATCTGTCCTTTGTTTTACACAGGGTATAAAATCACCTCTGTACCAGAGCACTGCTCTTGCATCAGAGAGAGACGTCTGGTAGTGGTTTAACCTGAGGGTCACCATGGCTCAGACAAGGGGCCAGATTGAGATGGCAGGATCTACATAGTAATCTCAGTCAGTCTGGGAACAAAACCCATGCTGCTGGCATTACTTTGCTTCACTAACTGAATCGTTCACAGAGAATTTGGTGCCAATAATCTGTCAGCACAAAAACAGACATGACTCACTGCTTTCACAAGAAGGGAAGAAAATGTTTTGCACAGGAATAGTTTATCAACTCTCCAGACTCAAATTTCAAATAATTTGTGAATTAATGCTTTATATTTGTTATAATATTCAGGATAGCATGTCAACCTTTCTTTGTTTATCTGAGCATTTGTGAAATGGTCTGTAAATGGTTAATGCTTATAATACATTTAGAGTGAAAGATTTCACCAAAAAAATCTTGAGAATGTCCTCTGTCAAATAATTTAGCCTGATTTGTTACCAGGTGTCATGCATATTTGCATTATCTTTGCTCAACTGTAGAATGTGTGTATAAAAAGACTACTGTTATTTTGCTTCATAATTACTCGAGACAGTATCAAGATTATCACTGATTACCTGTCAGGCATTACTCATGCTTTGTTTCCACGCTCCAAGAATGTTTTAATTAGAAATTCAATTTCACTACCTACCTGTCAATCTTTGGTATCTGACACAGTTAATATGCGAGGATAATAGTATTTTGTATCAGCAATAAACGTGTACTCAAATCACAACAACTGTAAATTTATGTCACTCGCTCTAATTCCTCTTTTCTACTTTGAAAATGTTTAAAGCTATGTTTTTCTATGACTGGTGGGCCCAGGAGGTTGTGCATTGTCATCCCTGGAAATGTGATTTGAATGCAATAAGTTTCTTTCAATTTTTTTTGTTGCAACAATACCAATGCCTCTTGAAAAGGAGCTGGTCATGTATTCCCGAACTATTACCTTATCTTATGGGTTGAACAGAAGCAAGTAAATCTATGATTTTTGTTACTGAACCCCTGATCATTCTATTCAGCAGTTTTCAGAAGCATCTCACAGCTGGGCTAAATGAAGATCAATGAGGCTATGGCTTGGATTTTCACCACAACATGTCTCTGAAACACAGTATGTGTAGTTCGATCCAGTAGCAGTAGGTATGCACTCTGAAGTCTTTTGGACAGCAAAGGTATTGTAAAGTACCCTTACGATATGGTTCCATACCTTTGGGCATGGTAATGTGCCTTTTGTAAGTGGTATGATGCCCCTTGGAATTGTTAAAAAGTAGGTCTGAATGGGCATAAACTTTCCAATTGTCAAGTTCACCGTAACTGTCATCAGACTTGTCAAAATTAACTGCGAAAACTGTCAGAAGTGTCAAGATGAATTATTAAGAGGAACTGTCAAAAACAACTCAAACTGAGCTGTCAAGCAATCAAGGCATTTAAATAGAAGTTGCTGGAAAAGCTCGGCAGGTCTGGGGAAGTGTCATTTGACCCAAAACATTAACTCTGCTTTCTCTCAACAGATGCTGTCAGACCTGCCGAGCTTTTCCAGCAACTTCTATTTTTGTCTCTGATTTACTGCATCTGCAGTTTTTTTCAGTTTTTATAAGGCATTTAAATACCTTGTCTTTTACATCTTTGGAAAAAAGTGGTCCACAGTGTTAAAAAAAATCATTGCTTGCTATTTGACTCTGTTGACATAAGCCTGAGGATTTTTACACTAGATTAGTACTAAACAACTTACTTCACTACCATCCATTATCATAGTCAAGTGCTTACCATTTCACAGTTTGATACGTTCAAGTGCTCATGGACTTTTCGAAGTGGACTATAATTATTAGGGATTGTTATAAGGAATTACGTACTTATACAAAACACTTTATTTAATAAGATAATACGCAAGGATCATTTTGTTGGCGGGGGGGGGGAAGGTCGGTGTGCATTTTGTAGAGGGGTTATAAGATCAAAGCATTGCTGTTCAAGTCAAAATGCGGCCTTTGGTGAGCATCTGAATTCAATGAAGAGGATGAGCAGCATTAAAGTAAGGCAAAGTAAGGTCTTTCCTTTTCTTTTAATTCGTTAGTTCCAAGAGTGGTAGTAATGGCAGTCAGTGGAGTGGTATATTCCTTCTCAGAGATATGAGAGATCGGTGAGAAGTCAAATATGCCCAACTATAAACTGTCTACCTGCGGCTCCTCTCAGACCACATGGATAAGTTGGAGCAGCAGTTGGACTCACTGGAGGAGCACAGGACGCAGAAAGGTTTATACACTGCAGTTTCAGGGATATGGTCACATCAAAGGTTCAGCCAGATAGATGGGTGACCACTGGGGTGGGGCAAGAGGGAGGGTGCAGACAGGCAATGCAAGGATTACTCCGTGAGCCATGTGAAGAAATTAGATTGGGGCAGCTGTTTGAAGGTAAAAGACTCCCACATATCAGATGTGATTAAAATGTTAGTTGATCGGAATTCAGGACCAGCATGTTCCTGTGACGATGAAAGAAATGGATGATAAGATTTCGGAACCCTGGGTAATGAGAGATATGGAAGTTTAGTCAAAAAGGAAAAAAGGAAGCATATGTAAGGTTTAGGAAACTGAAATCAGACAAAGCCCCTGAAGAATTTAAAGGAAGCCAGGAATAAACTCAAAGATTTAAGAGGGGTATGAAATGTTCTTGGAAAATCAATTTAAGGAGAATTCCAAGATTTTTTTATTTATATTAGGAGCAAGAGGGTAGATAAGGAAAGGGTAGGGCCACTCAAGGACAAAGCAGCAAATTTATGAATTTATGTGCGCAGCCAGAGGAAGCGGATGAGGTCTTTAATGAGTATTTTGAATTGGTATTCACCAAGGAGAAGTACAGGGATAGTTGTAAGATTAGGGAGAAGTATGCTGATATTCTGAAGCATATTAATACTAAGGAGGAGGAGCTGATGAATGTCTTGAAAACATTAAGGTAGTTAGGTCCCCAGGGCCTGATGGGATCTATCCCAGGATACTGAAGGAGGCAAGGGAGGAAATTTTTGGGGCCTTGACAGAGATTTTTGTGTCCTCTTTAGTCACAGGTGGTGAAGTCCCAGAAGATTGGAGAATAACCAAAGTTGTTCCTTTGTTTAAGAAGGGCAACAGGGATAATCCAAGAAATTATAGGCCAGTGACTCTTAAATTAGCGGTAGGGAAATTATTGGAGAAGATTCTTAGGGGCGGGATTTATTTGCATTTGGAAAAGAATGCACTTATTCGGGGTAGTTAGCATGGATTTGTGTTGGGGAGATCGTGACTCACAAATTTGATTGAGGAAGTGACAAAGATTATTGATGAGGGTAGGGCAGTGGATGTTGTCTACTTAGACTTTACTAAAACATTTGACAAGGTTCCTCATGGTAAGCTGGTCCAGAAGATTAAGTCACATAAGATCCACAGTCAGTTGGCAAGTTGCTTGCAAAATTGGCTTGCTCTTCGAAGACAGAAGGTAGTTGTGGAGGGGTGTTTTTCTGACTGGAGATCTAGGACTAGTGTTCTGCAAGGATCACAGCTGGGACCTTTGTTTTTTGCAATTTATATAAATGGTTTATATGAAAACGTAGGTGGTCTGATTAGTAAGTTTGCAGATGACACGAAGATTGGAGGAGTTGTGGATAGTGAGGGAGGTTATCAAAGGATACAGCAGGATATAGACCAGTTGGAAAGTTTAGCAGAGAAACGGCAGATGGCGTTTAATCCAGGCAAGTATGATGTGATGCATTTTGGAGGTCAAATGCAAGAGGAAAGTATAAAGTAAACATCAGGACCCTTAGGAACATTGATAGACAGATGGATCTTGGGGTGCAAGTCCATAGTTCCCTGAAAGTGACAACACATGTGACTAAGAAGGTAAACAAGGTGTATGGCACACTTGCCTTCATCGTTCAGCACATTGAGTATAAAAGTTGGCAAGTCAACTGTATAAAACATTAGTTAGGCCACATTTGGAGTATTGTGTGCAGTTCTGGTAACCACACAATAAAAGGAGGATGTGGAGGCTATGGAGATGGTGCAAAAGCAGTTTACCAGGATGTTGCCTGAATTGGAATGAATTAGCTGTAAGGGGAGGTTGGACAAACTTGGGTTGTTTTCACATGAGCGCCAGAGACTGAGGGACGACCTGATAGAAGTATATAAAATTATGAGAAGCAAGGATAGAGTAGATAATTGGAGTCTTTTTCCCAGGGTGGAAATATCCAATATTAGGGGGCATAGGTTTGAAGTGAGAGGGGAAAGTTTAAAAGAGATGTGCAAGGCCAGTTTTTTTTTAAACATAGAGGGTGGTAGATGCCTGGAACATACTGCTAGGGGAGGTGGTGGAAGCAGATATAATAACAGGCATTTAGGCAAACAATGAACTGGCAGGGAATGGAGGGATATGGACCATGTGCAGGCAAATGGGATTAATTGTGAATGGTATCATGGATGGCACAGACATGGTGGGGCAAAGGGAGTGTTCCTGTGCTGTACTGTTCCATGCTCTATGTGAAGGGACATAATTGAATGTGTTTTTCAATACAGTGAAATCTTAAACTGATACTTTATTTTATCTTCATACAGGTCCTGAGCTCTGCCAATTGTGGATACTAGTTGAGTTTGCATGATACATATGAAGGCAAAGGGTGGTGTGTGAGGTGCATCAATTGGCAAAAGGATGAGAGGGCAAAGGAGGTGGTTACAAGGAGGTAGGTTGACGTAAAGGGTATTTTAAACAATGAAGGGTAAGTGCAACGGCAAGGCATGATGTGACATGGGATGGCATGAATGAGGCATTATTGAGTGTGTGAGGCATGATGGGGTGTGAGGGGTGGGGACTGTTCTTTTCTTTAAAAGATTTCCACAGTGTCAGTGCACTCAGGCAGGCCTTCTGCACAGTTTCATCAGCTACCAGAATCATCATCTCTCATTCAGGAATTGACCAGCCAGACTCCTCAGGAGCTCCACCACTCCAGAACAACAATCCTAATCTGGTCAACCTTAACCCGGGTTGGGTTTTTCAAATGGAAAAATGTCCTGCAATTCCTGGGCTCTGTTATGATGCATTCCAATGCAATGCAAACAAACACTGGTGGGAAACTATTTGTGTTCTTCAGCAGCAAAATAATGAAGTTATTCAACAATTTGCAGATAATACAAAAGACCTCACTACAGAGAATAGACTCAAGTCACTGCAAATTTCTAATTATCTTAGAATGTCACAATTAAAATGAAAGCTAGGTATTAGGTAGATTTTTTTCTGCCTTTTTTGAAAAAACATTGGAAAATAAATTCTCAGCTGGCTTTACGATACTTACCTGGATTGTAGTGAAAGATTATATTTAATAAATCCTGGTCTCCCCATGTGATATCATTTTTGTATTTATGATATAAAGGATACAGCAGTTCTTCCCATCTTAGTCCAGTTGGAATCATACTGTTCTATAGGATCAAAAGAGCAAAAAACATGAACTATTTTATAGATAAAGTAACATTTTACTTAGAACTCTCCTGAATTACTTCACTTACACTCCTGCTGTCAGCCAAGTGAGAAAGAGCACTTGAAGAAACATCAGGAAATTACCACTGGTTTCCTGTTTAAAAACTGTAGGGTGATAACGGGTGAACACACTACAGAAATGAGGGACACACTGTTGAAAGGTCTACAATGACTGTAAAAGGTATAAAGGAAGGAATTCAGGTTCTTTATTGCAGCTCTGGAGGCCTGCTCCAGAGATTTCAAGCAAACAGGAGTAGCTACACCAGAACTACTGACAGGCCGACTAGGATTCCTGCCACTGGCACCATATTGTTGTGTACCAGGTCAGTCAGGGCCAACCGTGAAAACCTTCACAGTAAACATAGTGGGAAGGAAATAAAAAAGAAGAACAGCTATTGAGGGTACCCAGGTGACACAGGTGGCACTCTGTTGTAAATAGAAATCTACATTCAGCTACTGATTGCTGTTTTACATCATCACTCGACTGATCTACTGCTATTGCAACTGCAGTTACAGGAACCAAGCTACACAGCTATCCATCCATAGCACCATACCACCTCGTAATCCTGTGACCGGGGGTGCTTGCTGAACAAGTGCAGCATAACATTTTGTAATTGTTCAGGAGTGAGCATGCCCCACGTTCCTCAATCCACTCAGAAACACAACCCTTAACTGATGGGTGACCAGGACCTTGACTGATATCGGTGAAGCTCCCCGACTGACCTACCACCAGTCCCCTGACTGGATAAACTGGACTTGCAGTGTCACTGTGGCCAACTCCACAGTACTGACATGAGCCTTTCAACGCCCCAACGGCCAACTAACCGTGCTCAAGCCCCCGGAATGATATTTGACTTATACTGCCTTGATTTTTCATTTTTATTCATTCAAGGGAAGTGGGCTACACAGGATAGGCATCATTTATTGCCCATTCCTGTTAGCCTTGGAGAGGACTGTTGTGAGCTGTCTCTTGAAACACTGCTGTCCATTCAGTGTCAGTACAGCCTAAAGCTGTTAAGGAAAGAGGTGCAGGAATACTACCCAGTGACAGTGAAGGAACAGGGTGGTGAGAGGCTTGGAGGGGAATTTGTAGATGGTGGAATTTGCTGCCTTAGCCCTTCTAGATGGAAGTAGTTGAGAGTTTGGAAGGTGCTGTCTAAGGACCCTCAATGAATTTCCACATTGTATCTTGTAGATGGTACACACTGCTGCTAAAGTGCATTGGTGGGGAAGGGAGTGGATGTTTGTTTTTGTTGGGCTACTTTGTCCTGATTGGTGGCAAGCCTCTTGCATGTTGTTGGAGTTGCACTCATCCAGGCAAATAGAGAGTATTCCATCAAACTGCTGGCTTGTGCCTTATAGATGGTGGGCAGGCTTTAGGGAGTCAGGAGGGTTACGTGCTGCAGCATTTCAAGCCTCTGACTGGATGGAGGGAAGGTCGTTGGTGAAACCACTGAAGGTTGCTGGGTCTAGGACCCTGTACTGATGAACACGTGCAGAAGGCTCCTGGAGCTGAGGCAACTTGACTTCCAACAATCATAACCATCTTTCAGTTTGCTAGATCTTGCTTAAAATCATTTTCAAATCAGATGTCCCAGAAGGTGGCAATGGTTGCGTAGAAGCTGGTGCGACTTTGACTGAATTGCCGCCTATTTTCAGTAAGACCATAAGAAATCAGAACAGGAGCAGGTCATTCGGTCTCTCAAGGCTGCTCCGCCAATCAGTAGGATCATGGTTGATCCAAATTTTCTTCATATTCATGTTCCTGCCCTTCCCCATAACCCTTGATTCCCCTATTGATCAAGAATCTATCTCAGCCTTAAATGTACACAAGGTCTCTGCCCCTACAACTCTCTGGCAAGAATCATGACCCGGTGTGTGTGCATCCAAACAAGTGCACAGTGACTGAGTGCTCAGAGAGCAACTAAGAGCCCCGAGATGCACTCTGCTCTAATCAACAAGATGGGTGCCTGTCCCTGTGTGCAAATGGCCTTAAAATTCAACATATCAATTTTCTCCAAAATGTAGTTATGAAGTGCTTTGATGATATATTGAGGCTGGAGTGTGTCAAATGGTGTGTGGATGAGAAATTCAGATACTCATTATTCCTGGAGAGTGCCCCGCAAAGTTGGCGAATGCTAGCCAAGATGAAAACCCAGAGGAGCAAGCAGCAAGCTGGAGTCATCAGGCACCTATCATGTTGGAAATTATCACAGCTAGTTTCCCTGTGCTGTGTGGAAGGATATCAAACAGCGTATCAAATGAAGTGAGAATGGGCAATAATGAGCTGTTAATGCATGCAAATGGACTTCTTGCCACTCACTAGTGAGTGTTTCACCTCACCGTTCAAACATTGGATGCAAAATTGGACATTTTTTCTTAATATCTAGAAACTGATTTTTCTGATATCGCCACATTTTCCAAACCTTCTCACCATTGCCATGTTGTTTCCAAACTGCCTCACCATGTTGTTCAGGAGCTGGTAAAATTCAGCTCTACATCTATGTACTTCAGAGGAGGGAATCACAAGCCACAAGTGCACAGGGGCAAGGTCAGGGCATGGGAAACCACAGGTAATAATACAAAGCCCATGAACACGCTTTGTTGCTACATATCCCTCAGATTTATTTAATGAAAACAAACTAACTTTAAACTTCTACTGCATAACATGTCAAATTTTGTTTCTAGGCCTCACTTTGTTGCTGTTTTCTGTGATTAATATTTGACTGCTTGTGCAGGATTCTGTCTCAGAAACTTGCTTGCCCTTGCCTCTGCCCCTGCCAGGAGAAGAAGTTAAAAAAACTCTCAAAATCTGTGTCATACATTCCTAGATTTTTGGGAGCTAACAAACGATTTATTCTCTACAAGAAACAATGTCAAAACTCGTTCAAAAACATCTGAGCTCTCTACCATTTCAGATAGCTTGCGCGAATCCATCAGACGCACAAACTCAACAGTTAAAGCCAGCCATTTTTCTCATCCTGCTTGGAACCATAACACAAAGTTTCATCTCATTTGATATAGATCAAAGATTAATGGAAGTCTTGGGACCTACTTTTACACTTCATTAAAAGAGCCTGCCTAGGAAGAGCCAGAACGGATTCAGGATGCAGTTGCAGAAAACCCAACTCTTGCAAGATTTATTGTGGATTATTGCTTTTTTACCTTGAATAGTTGATTTCTTATTCGAGTCAGATTCATGAGCATGACTCCTGAATTGACTCCAGCTGCTCCATAATAAGGATGTCGTGCAAACCGACTGTACCATCCAATTCTTGGTATTTCATGTTCTGGGGCCATGGCTGCAAGTTGTGTGGAGTTGAACAAATTCAGGAAATGCCAGACATCATCGATTGGTCTCAGGAAAAGAACATCAGTATCAACATATAGCAGCGAATCGACATCTCTGAGAATCATCTGATTCGGAAGCAAAAATGCAGAATTTTTTTTAAAAGAAAAATACATACTATATATGTATGAAGTAAACTGCAAATAAAATAAATTAAGTGCAATGGTTATTCAAAATCAGGATCTGATTACTGAGATAAATAAAACTGATGTAACTGAAGAGATAGTAGGAACTGCAGATGCTGGAGAATCTGAGATAACAAGGTGTCGAGCTGGATGAACACAGCAGGCCAAGCAGCATCAGAGGAGCAGGAAGGCTGATGTTTCGGGCCTAGACCCTTCTTCAGAAAAATTGAAGATCAGGCTTTCCACTCTAAGTGACTGCAATTCAAACTGGGATCACAAGATGAGATTTCTAATCCGAGCAGAGCTGTATTCCCCAATGAATAAACCTTGCAAGGTGCTTAAAATTCTAAGCTCCCTTGATAAGGAATGTATGTAGGGATTACATCCATCCTCTTAATATTTCTGAAAGATGTCTGCAATTTCACTTATATCAATACAATAGGTATCTGTTTTAATAATCCAAGCTCATAGTTCCTAGCCTATCTTAAGAACAGTCTTCTACTCCATTATAAAGGGTGATCATTGCAGTAAGCAAGTCCATATATTGTGGATGAAATTAAATTGGTTACAGAGCTTCCCAAAAGTAGACTTCATGCTTTACTGGAATTTAGACCGCATTAACGATACTTTACTGATGCCCCAAGTAATTTTTTCAGCAGTGGGAACCTTCTTAGTAATCTCAATTTCTCATCAAAGTTGAGTTTTGGCGGTTTCTACTTGTAAGCACCTGAAGCATGAGGAAAGAAAGAAACTTGCATTTATGTAGCATATCACCAAATAAGCCAAAGCCCTTCAAAACCAGTCGAACAGGTCACTGTTACAGCATGGAAAATATGACACCTGGCCGTACAAACCACACTAAGTGAAAACGTACTCTTTTTAATTGTTTTGATCGATGGGTAAATGTTGGCTTGGACACAAGTAAAATATCCTGCTCTTCTTTAAATACTGATATGGGATCGTTTAAATCCACTGAAAAGATAGACGGGGCCTGATCTGAATAGTAATTATTCTGAATACTGGTTCTACAGCATTTATCAGAATTGACAAAGTACTATGTTAGATGACAATATCTTCAAGTCTCTAGAATGGACCTTGAATCCAAGTGCCTGTTTGCTCAGCGAGGAGTGCAAGCAAACTACGAGGTTTTAACAGAGGGCTTCAGCAGAGTCGGACTGAGAGTTTACTAAATTTTTGAGGATTGTAAAGTGAAAAAGGATTTGTAGATCGGCAATAATTAGAAGGGACAGATGGGTTTGTGAAGAAAGGAATAGAGCAGTCCATTGTCCCTCCAACTTCACAAATTCAGGAAGTCTGAAGGTTTAACAATTTCTCCACAATGTGATCACTTTGGACTTGGATGTTTGGTAGTGCTTCACCTAGAGTATGATTATGATCTGGATTGGTCTGTAAACTATTTCTCTGCTGGTGGATTTCCTTCATGGAGGATACCTTTTCTGCTGAACTGAATAGTTGCTCCACGTCCTTATCTGAAGAATCCTTACTTTTCTGAATTTTCTTCAAAAAAGGAACCCGCCCCTGCTAACTCCAGTAGGTGACCCATTACAGATCAGGGGTACCTTTCATTTCATGTATATCCATCATGGAAGACAGCTGCTCTGTTAATACAAGTACTTTCTTTCTTGTGTGGATGTTTGGACCAGCCAAGTTATTTTTTGTTATATCGTGCCCTGAATCTGTGGATGCTGGTGGGGTTTCTTACAGTCATATGCAGTTCATGTCCACTTTGTTAAAGCAAATCTTTATTGTCAATCTGTTGACACATCTGTTTTGAAACATACATGTTCTTTATTTCAACTTGTTGAGAAGATGAATGTCTGTATTTGCCTTGCATAGATGTCTTCCTGGTGAATTAAACATTTTCACATCCTCAGTCATGTTACGACAGGATTGTCGCTTGCTTAACATTATTTCTGTCACTGGTCCTGATCATTCTTCCTTGAATGACAAAGAATTGAAATGTTGTTCCTAGGTTTGTGATCCCTCAACACCCAACATTATAATCAAATCTATTCTATTAATTTGTTCATCAGAATTTCAGTTATACAACTGAAGGACAAAAAAAAAAGGCAACCTACTGGAAGAAAGAGGCGTTGAGCAGCACATGGTTTAAATAGATTTTTCCATTCCTGGGGTTTTCCTGCTAAGAAGGTGATTGGGTAGATGTTATAGTCAACTTGCGATCTGAAGGAAAATGGCCACGCTTTAATCTGTTCAAATCAAAAACAAGGGATTATAATACAAGATGCAGCTTCTCATTTTCTTTTAAAGACGTTTAAACAGAATGAAATTAATGCTGGTATATTCTGAAACTGCGTGAAAACTAACAGATAACTGAACTATGGTGAACTACGGTGTATCCACAGCATTTTAGTAATCAACAAATATACACTGGTGAATTCTGTAATTTCCTGCACACATTCATTGTAGCAACCCACACTTTAATTTTAATGTTAGTTTTTTTAAAAAATTACTGCAGTAAATTACGAACATAAATTCATCTTCAATTATATGGTCAAAAATGAAGTGTGGAATTTCCTTTATCTTTCACTGAAGATGTGTGTTTTACAACTTTCACTAAACAGTACTGTTTATGTGCTACACATTCAACAATTGTTCATCTCATTTGCATTGGAAACCAGATCTTCAAATTGTTTTCATTTCTGGTTTCCTGGTCAGCTGCAAAATATGCAATGTTTTATCAACTACAAAATTCTTTGTTAATTGGTTTCAAAGACTTTTGCTGAGATAATCAGAGTCATAGTCCCAAGACTCACTGGCAGCTTTCTTCAAAGGAACTGTAATTCATGATGGTAGATCCAGCATTTTATGTTGGCCGAATAAAATGAACTTAACACTATGGATAGCCAGCTCATGGGATCTGGATTAAAACAAAGATTTCCTAAAGTGCTGTTAATATATGGCAGACCCAAAATTATTTTCATAAAAGAACTAATGACTGAAGTTTCTGATAACGTTCTAGACTAAATCAATGTTACATGCTACATATAATTTACTTTGTTGTTGCTGTTGACTCCAGTTGTTGAATTTCAACCGTGAAGCTTGTATAAGAGAATGAACATGGATTTTGGATACTCTGCAGTAACTAAAGAAAATAAACAGCTGGCTCCACAGGAACAATGACTATACACTTTCCATTTCTTTTATAAAAAATACATTTACTTGTTCAGAGATTTCTTCCTATTTTTATGATCATCCACTTTTCTGTTTCTATTTAATTGCTAGATTTACAAGCGTCAAAATAATGTTTCTTTTCTCTTGAGAAAAATAAACTGCTGGCCTAATTTTGTCAACGGCTACTTTTTGGTTATCAGGAGCCCTTCTGTTCAATTTAATGTTTCAGTCCAATTCTTCTACAGCTGTTCATATGAGCAGATCAGGATACTGTCCTTCCTTAGTCCCTCAGTAATTTCTGTCAAATTTGGATTTTAATTATTTTCTAATCAACCTGTTCAGAGACATTGTTACACACGTCTGGAGCAGGTGGGACTTGAGCCAGGGGACTATTGACTCAGTGATACTACCACTGCATCACTTCAGTCACTGAAATTTGAATTCTAAATAGAACTCTCAATTATAACAATTGATCAACATTTCCACTAAGCTGCACAGCCACTCCGAGGGTCTGAGCAGGGTGAGTGATGTTCCCTCTCTGCTTGCAGCATTGACTTCACTGCACACAGATCTTGGTTCCGTGCAGAGAAAAAATTAGTGGGAATGCTGCAACCAACCATACGCACCACTCTTGCAAGCTCAGCAACACAACACTAATATTGTGCCTTAAACACTTCGATTTCCTTCTACAGGATTTGTCTTCTACATTTCAAATGGATCTCCAGTACAACGAGTATGTTTGTTTATTTCCAAGTACTAGTTGTGTTTTAATAGTTTTTCCCTTTTGAGATGCTCATGAGTGAGTACCAAGGGTAGTTTGTATGTACAGTTTTTGCTCACCAATAAACATTAACTACATCTATATTGTAAATCACGATGCATGAAACTTCTTCAATTCACGTATCTACACTTACAAATAAGACCGTTCTGGAGTTTTCAACTATTGATTGCCTGTGCCAACTCTTCAAAGCAGTTTGTCAATTTTTGCCACTGTCAATTTACTAACTCAAATCAGGATCAGGAAAAGCATTGGTGAGCAAAATAAAGGACTATACAGACAGCAAGAAAATAGCCAGTTAAAGAGTATGACCCACTGAGGACCATAGAGATGCTTGTGAACCACAAAGATGTACGCACAGTCCTTAATGAATACTTGCATCAGTTTTCACAATGAAGAAGGATAATGCAGATATAAATATCAGAATGGCAAACTGTGAAATTGTAAAAAAGATTTAACATGGAGGGAAAGGAAATATTAGCAGTTTTAGCAGCCTTAAAAGTGGTTAGACTCACAGACTCATACAAGGTGACCATTGAGCAAGGAAGGAGATATCAGGGACTCTAGCAGTAATTTTTAGATCCTCTGTAGCCACAAGTGAGGTGCCAGAGAACTGGAGAAATGCTGACACTGTCCCATTATTTTAAACAAACAGAGTGGGAGGGATATATCAGGAAATTACAGACTAGACAGTCTAACCTTGGTGTTGGGGCAAGTTATTAGAAAGAATTCTAAGGCACAGAATAAAGAAGCACTTGGTGAGACAGGGATTAATCAGGAATAGTGGGCATGGGTTTAGTAAAGGAGGGATGTTAATGGTGGAGGGAACTTAGGAAGTAACCATGTATGTCGTGCAAGATCGTTTTGATGCTACATCAGTTTGTGAGAGTCTGTGGGATGGGGTGGAGGGTGCATTGGCCAAACTGACTGGTTTCATTGCTGACCAGCTTGAGCTTTGTCCAGCTGAGTGCACAAGCTCCAAGGGGTCTCGGTCTCCCTGTATTTTCTATGTTTACATAAATATAAAAAACACTGTTTTAGATTGATTTTAGGAGGTATGTTGATGTTTTTATATAGTCGTTTTGAGGGATGTTGATGTCTCAAAGCTCTGCTTAGTTACGGTTTACTGCGGTTATGCCTACCTCTTGATTATCCAGAACATTAGATCAACCAGCACACCCATGGTCTCATAGGTACTGGTTAATAAAAAGTTTGCTATATTCACTTGTGTTGCCATAGCCTCTAGGGCTGTGGGCCAAGAGCTGGAAAATGGGATTAGTGTAGTCCTTCTGTAAGTACGATGACAAGTACTGTACACAGTATTCCAGATGTGGTCTCTCCAATATACTGTACAACTGAAGCATAACCTCCCCACTCGTTCATTCAAGTCCCCTCACAATAAAACAAAAAACATTCCCCCCTCACAATAAAACACAATAAAGTGGTCCCGATTACTTGCTGTACCTTCTGCAATTCATACATGAGGACACCCAGAACATTTTGCATCTCAGAGTCCTGCAATATCTCACCATTTAGATTATATGTTTTTTAGATAATATTCTTTCTGCCAAAATGATCAATTTTACTTTTTCCCCATGCTGTATTCAATTTACTAAATATCAAGACAGATCACATGAATTTCTTGGCAATTCACAACTCCTCCATTCCCCCCTTCCCCGCCGTCCCACTCCAATGTTAATGACACAGTAGGCTATTACATTTTATTAAACTTCACAATGGATTACAATTCTTAACTTTTGCTAATCTAGCCTTGAAACTCCCTCTCACGAACCATTATATCATGGTTTGTCTCAATGACTGCTCTTATTTTGGTTGATCACCCTCCTTTCTTGGGTTTTCATTCATCTGACTCTGAAACTACCCTTGGTACTCACTCATGAGCATCTCAAAAGGGAAAAACTAGTAAAACACAACTAGTACTTGGAAACAAACAAACAAACAAACAAACAAACAAACAAACAAACAAACATACTCGTTGTACTGGAGATCCATTTGAAATATAGAAGACAAATCAGATAAATAGATGTCACTCAAGTTTTACTGGCTTTTCCTTCTGAAATAGTAACAGCTCTTTCCTGACAGCTACCCTCACTGAGTGAGTCATGCTCCCGGGACTTTTCTCCCCAGCTCTCATCTTGCTCAATTGCATTAAACAAAAAAACTGTCTGCAAGCTTTTCAACACCCACTCTCTCATCAGCACTCAAATATTAATGCTCACAAGCTTTTTCTGAGCCCCTTATGGCTTCCTCAGTACAAATTCAGCAACCTTCCCACTTTCTCAATTCCCCCAGGGTTTCTATTGAGCCCTGGCTCTAACACTTAGCTGCCTAATACTTCCAAGAACTCCCGGAGTTATAACCGCACAGAGCCTTCCAGCTGCTCTTTATTCCTCACTAAGTCCCTACACAGAATTTGTGGAGTTTTGTCACCTTCCCAGTTGTACAGTTAACTACAGCACTCCTAACATGAGTCTGTTCTATTTCTCACACCCTGACTCACTGCTGTTAACTTTGAACTCCTTTTCAGTGACCCTCTCACTGTTGTGAGTAACCTATCAAAAACCTCACATTAAGCCACTTCCTGTTGCGGGGCAGATTTGAATATTGTCACTATTTGCTTCAATCACTCCCTGTGGTCGCACGTTTCCCAGTCTTAACATGTCTCAGTGCAGACTGAAGTCCTTACTAGATTTCTTGCTGACTCTTTTATATTGAAGGTCCCTAGCATACTCTTTCCCACAAGTATAAGAAGAATCTCTTTGTAGTGTTCAGTTATCAATTTTACCTCATGCAATCACCATGTAACTGCCAACTGTTTTCATTTACTTAAAATAGCACCTTCTCCAATCTCAGATAAGCACATCGTCTCTACAGGGCACGTGCAATTGATGTGTCAAGTGATCGGAATAGAGGCATCAGCTGTCACTCGAACATAAAATGTCAAACATCAAACAACTGTGACATACATCATTTCCTTATATCAATTACCATCTGAGGATCTCTGAATTACATCAATAACTGAAGGGAAACCTGCAGTATATTATGGTCAATCTCTACTGAAGGTCAGCCCCACTCAGAATTAAGATCCTTGCAAACTAATTTCAATTCAGTCCTTTAGAGGAAACAGAGAGAGATGACCACGAGCCCGTTCGGCTGCAAGAGAGATAGATCCATGCTCCAGTCAGTTCTCATCCTTCTTCAGCATTTAATGTTTTCTAAAAGTGTTCAACATTCTGATCATGTCATTTTATTTCTCTATAATTCTGAATTAGAAAACAATTCACAGCATGCTTCATTTGGATCAATCCTGATTTAATAATTCGGATCCTGCAGGCACATCAATAGTAAATATTTGGATTTTTCAAAAATTATGAACTATTTCAGAAATTGAAAACAACATTAAACATATATAGTAACATTTATATATTGGCTAAATATTCCTAACACTGGGCAACATTAGTCCAGGAAGTGTATGTAAGCTCGTTCATTTAACAGTGGAATTTAATTGTTTAGCATATCAAATGATGAACAAACTGCAATAAATTTGGTTGATAACCTCATCCATGCCTTTGTTACCTCTAGACTGACTATTCTAATTATATTTTAATACCTCACAGGTCTTCCACATTTTGCCCATCATTAAATTGATGTCAATCAAAACTCTGGTGGCCAAGTTTGAACTTGCACCAAGCTTTGTTCGTCCATCACTCCTCTATTGCTTGCTAATTTACACTGGTATCCAGTTAAGCAGTGCCTCGATTTTAAAATTCTTCTCCTCATTTTCAAATTCTCACATGGTCTCACTCTTCTTTGTGTCTGAAAACTCCTGCAGCCACACAATCCTCTGAAATATTTTTGCTCCACAAATTTTGGCCTGGTGAGCATTGCTGATCCACTGTTAAAGCCCTAAACTGTAGACTTCCCTCCTAAAACTTCCTATCTCTTTTTAAGAGGCTCTTTAAAAATCAAGTTTTTGAACCTCTGTCTGAGTACCTCGTTACGAGGTTTGGTCTCAATTTTTTTTCATAAAATTCCTGTGAAGCACATAGGTAAGTCACATATTTATATCATGTTTTCAATGTAACAAGCTGTTGCTTTCATTAAACGACACTATGTAATTGAAAACCAGTCCCAAGGAGATCTAAGTATATTGCACAAAGTTGCATATTGTTTAAACAAAAGAGCAGCTTAATGTTGTAAGAAACAAGTAGTAACTTGTAAGAATGTGAGGGAAGCACAGATATTATTGGACAAAGACATCTTCTTGGGTTAGTAAGAATTTATGCAATTTGATGCTTTTTGATTTTATCAACAACTGCAACTGAACATTCTGGCTTGGTAATTGGTTCTTTACTGTTAGATGCAATTATGGTGGGCCAGACTTATTGTTTATGCACAAATCAGGCAGCAACATCGGACAAGCAGAGATATGTAGTTACAAGCAAAAATATGGAATCATCGATTCACACAGAAGGTTGCGGCTTCTATTCCCAATCCAGAAACCAGAATACAAATTCTCGGCTGATACTTCAAAACAGAATCATAGAATCCCTACAGTGTGGAAACCGGCTTTTCAGCCCAACAAGTCCACACCGACCCTCTGAAGAGCATCCCAATCAGACCCACACCCCCCCCTACCCTATCCCTGAAACTCTGCATTTCCCATGGCCAATCCACCTATCACCTTCCACATATCTGGACAGTATGGGCAATTTAGCATGGCCAATCCACCTAGCCTGCACATTTTTGGAGGGAGCTCCGCACTGTCGCAGGTTCTATCATTTGATAATATGCTAAACCAAGACTCCATTTGCCCTTTTATGGTTCCTTGACAGCTTTTGAAAGAAACGCAGGAATGTTTCTACCCCCGTATCCTAGGCAATATTTCCTCAACCAGCATTAATGAGCAGATTACCTGTGCATTATCACTTTGCTGTTATTGGAGCTTGCTCGGTGTAAATTGCAACCATTGCACATTACAACAATGGTTGCAGTTCAAAAGCAAGTCAATTACAGTAAAATTCTTTTGGGTGTTCTGAGAAACCAAACTGCAAGTCTTTCTCTCTCTGGCTGAGATCAGTTATTCCAACACAGACCAGGGAATATGAAAAAAAAACTACAGATGCTGGAAATTCAAAACAAAAACAGGAATTTCTAGAGAATGTTCTGAAGAATGGTCACTGGACTTCAAACGTTACCTCTGCTTTCTCTCCACAGATGCTACCAGACCTGCTGAGTTTGTCCAGCAATTTGTTTTTAAATGGGGACTTTCCTGTTGTGAATGTTACATGAGCTCAGCATAAGCACTTGCAACTTAATAATTGACGTGAATGTCTATTTATTCATACTGGTCAACTTCTACCTGTTGAACATTGAGCATGCATTGTACAAACATCAATTAGTCACCAAGGTGACTGATCCACTGCTTTTACAAATACCAACAACAGTGGATTTTGATTCAGAAATATATTCTGCTGCATAATTAACTATAAAAAAAGCAATAAACTAGCCAAAGCATTGAATTGTACTTTTAGGAAAGGAACCATTTGAGCTACAAGAGGCCATTTATGTGGGATGCATCAATACATTAGTCATTACACTATTAAATGAATTCAAACAAAATTCAGAGACAAAACATAAGTGTAGAGTCAGAAAATATAAAGTCAGTATGTGAGAGAATAGAAAGCAATCCAATTAAAGTAAGTTGCAAAAACGATGTTGGCATAATCTTCCATCCAAGATTAACAGTTGCACTATTTAACAGACATTGTATATATAAAGAACACGTTTTTAACACCTTAAACTTGTTTTCATTTGGAGTACTTACACTAGTTTCAAATTGTGGTTGCAGAGTATCTTCAGCAAAAATATGGAATTTTATCTTATTTAAGCTGAAGAGAAGAACTGATTTTAACATGGTCATTGTTTCTTCAAGCCGGTCCCCACAAGCTACCACCGCTAAATGCATCCATTCTTCTCTGCGCCATGTATGGAGGCGAAACACTGGTTCATTACGATTTCTGAAGGGAAACAAAATATTGGAGCATATTGATCAGTCAAAATCTAGCATTACAGCTTTCAAAATGTACACTGCCAGTTCAGGCTTCTTCTTTCTCACTGTCACTCGTGGCAGACAGTTATTAACATATTCAATAACTCTTGCACACCTCAGCGGGTTGTAGGAAGGACACAAATCCCAGACAACATCAGGTTTTATGCATCAGTCAATACCAGAAATGTTCAGATATTTTTCTACATTTGCTATCCTTTGCTTTATTGAAAGATGAAGGATTGTTTTTATCTAAAAAACTACTGTTACAGGTTTATCCAAATAAATTGACTGCTACATCGTTCAAAGAATCTTAGAATTTACAGCACAGGACAAATCCATTTGCCCAGCATACAGCTTTGATAGAGCTCTTCAGTTAGTTATATTTCCCTATCCTCCACCCAGATTCATGCATTTTTCCCCCTGTTATTATACAGTTCCTTTGTGGAAGAGATGAAAGTGGCTGGGTCAGAGATATGGGTTTTTGTCAGTCAAAGTTTTAAGGGATAAGGAGAAAAAGTAAGTAATGCGGAGTTAGGTCAGAAATCAGCCATGATCTCATGATGGTATAGAATGGAGTGGCTAATTAGCCAACCCTGTTCATATTCACTCTCCCATATGACTAATTCAAGACTCGCACAGAAACAGACCTTACAAAAAATTGAAAAATTAAAAATGCTAATGGAGAAGAAGGTCTTTCAAGCATTGTAATGGAGGCAAAAGAAACCCTCTACAGTCATTCAGGAAGCAGTAATTGGGAAACAGGAGGCTTCATGACATCAAAACTGAGCAAGCTGAACTGTGAACTGCAGGCAAAGTACAGAACTTCAGTACACTGATCAGTGCCAAGAATGCTTTCAAATTGAAGCTGAATCTGTAATCTTTCCAATTAAAGACTAAACACCGAAACACTTTCCAAGTCTGGAGAGAATATTAGAAAACAAATCAAAGCCAAAAGAGAAGTGCTTTTACACAGAAAACCTCTGTGCACACCGGAGGAAGTTAGCAGAGGAATTCAACTGGTGATTTCAGGAATTCAAAGTGATAGAACACATTGATGTGTTTGTTTGAAATCCATTTCTTAAAGTTTACATGAGTGGGTTGGCTACCAAATTCCATCAGCATTTGAATTACAAAGCAGTGGAGTTGATATGGAGATAATTACAGTGTGGAATGATACTGAGCTGAAAGTCAGATCAAGGGACAGTGATTTTTAGAGACTCAGTGTAAACCATGACTTCTATCATCTAGTGTGTTTTAAAGTGAAAGTTTACATTGACTACACGTACCTCTGTGAAGCAATCTTCTTCCAAATGAAGAAAAATCAAATCAAAGTTTCAAACCCGCCTCACAAGTACCCATTTGATGGTTTGTATATGACAAGCATCTCAACATGCAGAACAATCCAGGCTTCAAGGCACTGGCAGATAATGTATAGTCACAGGTGTCTCACCGAGACTTATGGAGTAGTGGACCGATTGAATAAAATATCAGGGATACTAAATTTATATAGCACAAATTAAAATAGACTGTTTATTCTACATTTTCCTATTTTGCAGTTTTTCTCTGCACTTCAGGATTCCTAGGTATCCTCCTGAGTTTCTGCAGGATTTAGCTTTACATTTACTGTGATATAACCATTCTACTGTCGTACACCAATAACTCATTGCCTAATGACAAGTATTGCTCCTGCTCATTAAACCTTTTCAGCAATTGATCTGCTGGACTATTTTTGATGATTCTCGCAATAAATGTTCTGACCTTTGTGCACTCTTTGTCAGATTTTATGAGATGCAAAAATTGATCAGAAATTTCCCTCAGTTGTCAGCCAGATATTGGTATTGCTGAAGAACAAGATTCTACTTCTTCTCCAGAATAAGATCTCCTTTTCCTCCTCAATCCACTGTTGATCCTAGTGTATTTGCTATTACTTGCACCTTACACGAAACAGAGTATGCCATATTCTTATCATAAGGACTAAATATACTCTATTTTCAGTTTATATTTCAAATAAAAGTTTGGATTGCTGTGTTGTAGAGACTGAACAAGTTTTTTTTATATAACTTGAAGGATAAGTGGAACTATGTGGTGTTCATTCATTAGTTACGCAAGAGCATGTAACTTTTAGAGAAGTTGCATTTGATACTTTTGGTTGAATAAAAATGCCCAGCAAAACCTTTTGGATTGGCTTTAAGTTCTGGCTTGTGACGGAACCAATAAAAAAGGAGTAGCAAAACTCAGTTGTGAAAGTGTACAGCCAGAACTGATTTCTCTGTCTCTTCCTCTCTACGAATAGAAGAAAACCGGTGCTAAGTGATGCTGAAAAGAAGTTCAAAATCAAACAAAAGGTCTGCATCCAACTGACCAGGTACCAAATTGAGGATCACCTCAACTGACAACAACACAATAGAATTACTAAAACCCAATACAGGATTGTTCAAAAGTCATGTCATTCACTCACTTTTTATTTTGGACTTTTGACCTCAACACTTGGTTCCTTTTTCCCCATATGTTCCACCCACAATATTCCTGCTAAATTGTTTGTCTTCTCTGTCTTATCTGTCCCATTTGAGAGTGAATGTGATGATTGGATTTAAAAAGACATAATTTATATTTGCATATTAGTTATTAATAATCCATTTTGCCATTTGTTAAAAGAAAAGCTCGTTATAATAAATAACTTGTTTTTTTTGATAATTGATGAAACCTGGTATGAACATCTTTTATCTTGGATAGTGATCACAGTCAGGCAAATTAACCATCCTTGTGATTAAGTCGATCATATCTCAAATTTGTGGAAACTTGTGGAATAGCGGACTTGTTTCCTACATGCTCTTATTTTGGGGTTGAGACAGTGTTTTATTGGCTAAAAAGTCTGCATTTTTATTTGCGTAGATGCACATTTGAAATTTCTATTCATACCAAGAGTTTTACTGAAGGCTTGTGGTCCAACTCAACCTGAAATTTTAGTCCCACAAGATAGTCTGTGAACCTTTCATATGTCCTTTAACTGCTAAAGCTCCCTTCTCTATGGTTGTCAACATCCACTTAGTCTATGTCAAAATACTTGATTTAAAAAAGTTTAATGTTTTGTCTGTTTGTGCCTGAACATGGACTGCTGCTAGTGCTGTGTTGATGATGCATCTGCATCTACTATGGCGAATAAGCCTGAATTGTGCTGTGCAAAAGCATCAAGAGAAAGCAATTTTTCCTTAATCCTTTCAGAAACTGCAGTCTGTTCCTGACTCTTTATGGGTTATGTAAGACTGGCTAAATTACAGATAAACATTCCTACTTGCTTTATCACACTTAAGAAGTGCCACACTTAATTTACATACTGCAGTACCAGAAAAACACTGATGGCTCTGATCTTCCTTGGAACAACTGTGATGTTTTGCTCTTGGATAATCTGTCCTAGAAAACAGTCATTTAAGAGAATTGGCATTCTTCGTTTAGTGTGAAGTCATGACTTAAACACATGCCTAACCCAATGGCTATGTTTCCTCTTCATGTTATCCTGCACTAGGATATCATCCATCATGCAAGTGGTAGTTTCTTTCTTTTCCCGGATACCAGACATTGCCTTTTGGATAACTTCTGGTGCACAGCACATCCCAAATGGAAGCAACACTGCCCAAATGGTATAATAAATGTCGTCAGCAATCTTGACAATTGGTCTAATGGCATCCAGTTTTGTGCAAAACTTGTGTTGCCAATTCTACCAAACTATTACTGATGAATGAAATAGGATGAATTTCCCTCCTTACTCCTTTATTGAACAGTGAGATCCACACATGCTCTTTGTTCTCCAGCATCTTGGGTATAATTATAGTCCTGAGCACTACTGTGTTGGTTCTGTCACTGGAGATATGACCTATTTTTCAATTATGTTGTTGAACTGAGATTTTACTTTTCCCCAAACAAAGAATTAGGAATTTTAGGGGGAACGTACAAGCAGATGGGCTGAGCATCTTATTGCAGAGTTGTGATACTACTGCGTATGGTGGCATGAATCTTCGAATACCTATGGAAAAACCTGTTGAAACGTTCTCCCACCTTCATTATGAAGAATTGTATCCATTCTCTGTAATAGACCTCAAATGAATTTCTGCTTAACACAGGTATTCTGATTCTTCAGTATATAGAATGTTTTGTTGACATTTAGTCCTCTATTACTACATTTCATGGCAAACTTCTCAAGCATTGGAAAATCACTGCCTCTTGCACTTTGGCATTTTATGCTTGCTGGTCTGATTCTCAGAGTTCAACCATGACAGGTCGTCTGCCAGCATTGAAACAGCTTCTGTGTTAGGTCTGTATTCTATTTCAAAGGATTACACCTTCACACTGCTGTTCCAAAATTCATCTGTACTCTATTTGATCTTCCTAGAAATGATGCCCCCACCTCTTGTTTTGTACCTTAAAATGCTTGAACTTCCATTTCCTTTTCTGTGGAAATTATCTTTTTTGCAGGTGATGAGGGTGACCTTAAATTTACAACATTCTCTAAAGTTTCCCAGCTGGCCACATTTATAGCACTTAGCCTCCCCTTCTGGACATTTGTTGTGTTTGTAATGGTCTTTGGGGCCACACCTTGCACAACCTAACATGGTTAGGTATGTTTATCCCTGCTCTTTTGCCATATATGCTGGTTTTCAGGATGGTGACAATTCCGCTATGTATCCGACCAATTCAGACGAATCCCTGATGTTTCCTTACAGTGACTAATGACTGATTTTGGGCTCTGATGTCTGAGTGCAAAATGAATTGGATTGCCTGTTCCAATGTTAAATCTTTCTTAGATTGAAGAAAGTCGAAGAGTCTGATAAATTCTCATCCCTTACAAGGATTACAATACAGTCTCTAATTTCTTCATCCTTCAAAGCTCCACATCAGCATATCCTGGTAGGCAAGAAAATCCATTAAAAAGGCTTGTATTGATTCTCCCAGATTCTGACATTGCTGATTTAA